TACATATTTGTGTATGTATGTATGTATGTATGTATGTATGTATGTATATTTTTGTATGTGTGTGCGTGTGTGCGTGCGTGTGCGTGTGTGCGTGCGTGCGTGTGTGTGTGTATGTGTTTGTGGTTATGTATTACGGGACATGTTTTGTTGATTTCTGATTTTCACAATTACTACTACTTGTTAATTGATGATAGCAGATCGTACTGCCATATATTTGTCAATTTAAAGCCTCAGTGTCTGGCTGCCTGGCCTGTTACTTCTGAACATATAAACACACACAGAGATGAGGCCGCACTGAATATTCCGCTTCCTGAAATGTATTTCGGTTTCAACAAGCTACGAGTCGAACACATAACTGGATGGGCATTAGGTTGGTTTTGTTTGGGGTGTATTCATCGTATCAAACCTGAAGCAGTGGTTTGTTTGTCGTAGTGGACAGGCAATTGTTTTGTGCCTATTTCTCAGTGAACTCTAGTGATGCCTGTAATAATTTCCACAAAATCAAGTAAGAATACAGAATTGTATGCATTTTAGGAATTAGTATTCGATTTTCGATCAGGCAAAATCACTGCGGCCCATGGTTTCCTATGTTATCATCATTGTGTGCTATCAAAAATCAGGACCATCTCACCGGCACCCCGAGTAATGCCTACCCAACACAAACGTACTAAACGCCGTACACTGGTGGCTCTATTACTATCTGCACGGGTGAGCCAGATTGAAGTTGACTAACCGGGACTCGTTTCACTCTGTGTCGCTTCTATTACCACAGAATTCATGGCCATGGATGCACTCGACATGGTTGACAAAGACACGCCTACGGTGAAAGTGGGATGGGCCGACCACTGGCACAGAAATAGGTACGTATGCGATACTTTTTTGGGGATTTTGTTTTTATTTATTTGTGCTACAGTTGTCACTTGGTACACATTGCTGGTGGATGGAGAATAGGGTCACCTACAGCGTGATGGCCGATATATAAGTAGGGTTGCACTCCTGTACATATATTGCACGGATATTCAACGAAGACACATACAGTCAACTATCTCTGCAACATTTGTGTTTCAGTGTATAGATTCTCAGGCGGAGTGCAAAGTACTAGGCTTCCCAGCAATATTTGTGCCACTGTTAGTGGTCTGCAGTATATTTCAGTATCCTATCTAGACTGATCGCATCAGACCACTTATTTCCTTACGGCCACATATGTGCACGGCTTTAATAGAGTGTGATAAGCAAATATTGTCTTGCAGTCTCATAATCCCTCGTTTCAGTATAATCCGCACACAATTAAACACTTAATTTCTATACCTTCCCCGCAGAGGTCATAGCGAACATATAAAGGAAGTTGTCAAACCTTTTGATTGGACGTATAGTACGGCTTATACTGGTTCTCTGCGATCTGTCGATGGTGATCAGACGATCAATTTGCCCACTATCTCAGCGGCACTCCAGGGAGAGGCTATCGACTATGAACTATTGAAGCCTCACAGAGAACCTATATTGTTTTATGGTATGTACGAGCATGCGTAATATAGCTCTGTCATTGAATTGTCTGTGTTCGCGGACGTACTGTCCTCCGAGCGCGACTCCCAAGGTGATAATGTGTGGTGGGTTTATCACCTACACATGGTAGTAGACCATTTTGTATGAATGTTTGCACCTGCAAGTACCTTAGTCCGTTGCCGCGCTTCAGACTCTTGTGAGGTGAGTCAATTCATGTTTGTCTGGCAGTAACCGACGTCTTGTACATGACATTCGAGTAGAACGAATTGTCGCAACGTGGCTCTCTCCGAGGATCTTGATTAATTGATCCCACATGTCTTCTGTTGAATATAGGGGGTATGCGGTTCTCTGTAGTAGGATTGCTTATCTTATGTCTAAAGGTACATACATATTAAACCAGGTTTTTCGGTGAATCGATGCCCACGGGTGCCTTTTGTGTGTCAACTGCGATGTCTGCGCTGTGTCGAATTGACATGAACAATCGCTTGAGCCATTTAATGTCATCTACCCACTCAGGTGAAGTCATACTCTTCGAAGACGAACTGGCGGACAACGGCGAGAGTACCGTCAGCGTCAAATTTGTAAGCCGCATGTTTCACCGTGACAATATAGATATAGTGAACAAGTGTTTTGATGCTAACTTGAATATTCTTCCACCACTACTTCGGGACTCTTGTAAGCTTGTATCGATTATTTTTTTATATCCCTGCTGTTGGGTGAGACCTGGCGAACAGGTCTGGTAACTCAGAAACTTTTCAATGTGCTCGTTTCAGAGATGCATGCCTAGCGGATTCTTTATTCTCTTGAGGCAGTTTATCCGCGTGGACGACGTTCTCATCAGGATACGTGACACGCGCATACACCACATATTCGAAACCCAACATATGATCCGCGAAACGGTCACCAAGGAAGGCGTGTACAATAAAGTCATCCCGGTAAGTTAACGAGTATTATATGTTGCATGACTGGTGTACTTGGTTTAATGTGTACGAGTGAAGATGTGGGGGTTGCAGCGCTGTGAGTTGAACGTAAAACATGTGTATCTGAATCGGCGATTGTTTGTGTATACTGGAGATGCTGCATTTTTATTGGACTGTCAGGCTCTGACGGGATAAGGTGGAATGTCACTGCATACACAAGACGCCAAGTCCGTTATTCGAAATTTATTTATCTGCGAAAGACAAACGTTGAAGGTTTTTGTAGAAAGCTCGGGCGAGCCGCAATCCTATCCGTATTTCGGAAATGAACTAGACGACATAGCTGAACTACGAAGTTGTATGAATCCATAGAGTTTATCATTATAAAGGACTGCACTAACATCTAATGCGTGCAGTCTATTTCAATGTCACAGGATAAGACAAACACAAATATACTGCGAGACCCGCCGGCCTTGGATGCAGCACTAACTCTCATGTCCAGCAACGTCGATATCATATCGTGGGAGAACAAATCGGATGCGATCTTATAGTATATATGTATCAAGTAAAATAATAAAAACGGTCGAAAACCTCAGTCTCAAATTCGTTCGACATTGGCTCAATTTAGCATAGACACAGATATGTATTTGTTTTTCTGGTGTTAAGAAATGGGGATTTTGGTTGCTTATATTTGAGAAATTCCTAAATACTATTATTAAAGTAACATGGCATTGAAGAATATTCCACACAAGAAGTTCTACTTGCCACAATCGTAGTAAATATCTACATGCGTGTACCTGCAATACATCGGTGCCATAATCGACAAGTATGAGCACAGCTTGTTCTAGTGTCGCCACACACGTCGCAAAAACGCTCTGCAACATTCAACACGCTTTGTATGACAACCGGCATTTACATCGTTACGAAGTGATTTGCACAGCTGACCGGCATCGTAAGGATATGATATTTCACTATAGTGGTTTAATATTCGTCGACAGAGATGGCACGTGCAAATATTGGTGCGTTGAGTCACAGGCTTTTAGATAACCGCCGAAAATTGATGGTAGACTTGTTTATATGTCGATTTACGAATGTCACTGTGTCTCGTCCCTTCGTATTATCATACAGGAGGATGTGTGAAACTGCGAATGCTCAAAGTAATGTAACGCGCGTCCCCATATCGCCAGTGAGACGACCAGAGGCAAATTGCAATGTAGAAGTTTCAAGTGCATGTGATGGCTTGTTGGTGTGGGTGATTGCGCTTGTGTTCGAGTGGTACTTTCTTGACTGACGAAGATATCTCTCCAGACCTCTGTGCATGTCAGGGTATCGCACAACTGGTGTCATATAAAGTAGTGTCGATGTGGCACACTGGCTCCAACTCATAGGATTCCAGCCCCCATATACCGTCAATGGTGGAGTTTTAAGCATGCCTCATGACAGGGCGTCACAGATATGGCAAGTTAGTAATCAGTATGTGAGGTACGTAAACCACGGCTGTATAGCCACCTACAGTCCAGCTGCAATTGTATTATATGTGTTTGATCCGTGGAACAAAGGCATGGTCACCATACTCTTGAGTGGACCGAACTATGAACGGATTTAGGCTGAGTCGTTTGCAATTTAACTGCTAGTGTGCCCTGAACTATCTTCGTATAAATTGAGCTTCGACATTATCCGTTGCCCTGGTAGCGTATGCTGCTATCGTTCCTCGTCCAATTTGGGATATGTAAGTTATTCACCAGGGATGAATTGATATCTGAGTGCCCCATCTACGGACAGTGTGGACGCTGCTTCAATGCAATACAATGCATTGTTAGGATCGCTCGTCCCCGTTCTTTCAGTGAAGTGTGTGATCAAATGCGCCACACACCTTGTCGTCAATCATCAACCCGTTCGAAGAGCTCCTTAGCAGTAAGAGGTTTGCTGAGTGGCTTCTGTGCCCGTACCGTACACTGTAGGGTGCTATCGAGAAACCAGGCTCCCACCACTTCAAATGCGTTGATCTTCCGCTCCAATTTACTCTGTGCGCAAATAAAATTAATCGGAAGTTCGAATAAGTCCACATGCGTTGGTGCTGATCGCTTACATCAGTGATTACTAGTTCAAAATTACTATGCAAGTGCAGATATTTATCCAGAATTAAGGATATTACATTTTCTTTTGACTATTGTAAATCACAGAATTGCAAGTAAACATCAATATACAGCACATAACCACTACTTACCTTCATATAATTGGTATGCAACATCACCGGAGCCTTGGCGCCGTACATGGCCCTGAAAGGTTTGTTCTGACCAAAATACAAACCTCCGTTGGGGAAATCAGCCGGGTTCAAGTAACACATTTTGATGCCGGTATTTGCTGCTGCTAGAGCCTTCCTATCCGCCTCACTAATCTCGGGGATGGTTATATTTACATTGTTTTCGTCCACGGCTTTCTCCCCGTAAAACGGTGTGTCAGTGCGCGGATCGTATACATAGTAGTCCTGATGTTCCTGAAGGGTTTGCAACGTCAAGTGTAACGCTCTCTGTTCCCTGAAACCTTCCAGACAATTAAACTGATCTGCCCAGACATCGTACAGTCTGAGCACTTGTGGTGACTTCTTCACAAAGTAAACGCCACAGTTGAATTTCTTCTCGCCTCTATAGCCCTCGTATGTCAGTGCCAGTTTCGAATCCGCCTGAAACTTCATATCACACTGATCATTCAAGCTCGCATACTTGGCTATGTTCCTGACTACGGAGGTATCTGCATCCGCAATGAACACGTCGTACCCCAGACGAAGTATGGCTCGAACGGCATTGACTTTTACATGCATCAGATCCCTCCAGACATACTCCTGGTTGTCACCATCGCGATCCCAGTCAGCCACTAATTCATCGCCTAACATCTTAGAATCGAAGAAGCTGTGTTCTGCGCCGAATATTCTTGTAACGTCGTTGTGTGTAACCTCGTCGAATGGTATAATTATCCAATTGGTATGACGGCGCTTCACAGAGCACATGAAGTTGCGCAGAAGCACTCGCTGGCTGTTGGATGCGAAACTCACTATGATGCGCTTGTTAATTGATACGGTTTTAAGCATATCAGACAATCTGTTTGTATCTACGATTCTCTCATCTAAGTACTTTTCTTTCTCTACTGGTGTGCACATTATGTTGCCGGCATTGTTTACTGATAACTGTGTCGGCTGCGTATTCGTAGTAAATTTCATCGCCTGGGGGCGCAGGTACACCTCTTCGTTCTTGTGTGCACCGTACTGGTCAAAATTTTCAACTGTTACTAAATCTTCCGCCAAGCTTTTGTATGCACTAGCGATCATTATGAAGATCACTATACAGCCAAATACAGTGCGAGGCTGGCGCAGTTGATGGGATATTCTTATCGCCATCTTCAACCTTCAAAACAGCTAGCAACCCTAGTGATGGTCCTTGTTGATGTTTGAGGTAAGAAATTCAAAACAGAAATGACAACACCCAGAACTAATAAATCATTCGAGGCATCTATAGGTTGTGCAGGAAAGGATAGCGAAAGGCTCTCTGCGAAGACACCATCGTAGTCTAGGTATTAATATACATACACGTGACCAGTATGAGACAAAACATATTCACATCAATAGTCCTCTCATAGTTTATATGCATGTTGTTTTTTTTTATTACAGACGCCGTTGGTGAAACAGCCAATTTTATGAAATTTTATTATATTGTTTTATAGGCCCAAAAATTGTTACAAATCGGTTTGCCACAGATCGTTGCAAGGCAGGCGCCCGTGGCATGTGGTGCCTCGACACATCAATTGCAACAAATGCAACGTATACAAGCTAGACCTCATAATCGTGCGTCCTCCTAGGCTTGCAAAAGTGCACAAACTAGTTAACTGAATGTATCTTGCATGCTAGCGATAGTATACTTTATTGAACTAGACACTGTGACACTGTAAATGGTTAAAGAAGATCAAGCCTGATGTACCTCAACTTGGGAGCTTTTATGCAACTTCTGTGTCAACTACACACTCATGGCTCTATTTTACTTCATTAAAAGTACTTAACTTCGAGAAAAAAATTTAAAATTCCCTGGACCGCAACTTCTAATTTTAGCTTACCAAGCCATATAGCCTATTTCAATACTATGTCTACAATTTAGTCCCTATCGAACATTTATGGAAGATTTACAGAAGCTACTCATTATCTGGAGCAGAATAAATCCGATGTAGTATTTACTTTCTTTAAAAATCGATGTGTCGAGCGTGTGATAAGAATAGAGAAGTAAAAACTGAGTGAACGAGTTCATGATTCGGACGATATTGGTTTTTAATACTGTATTGAGGACATAGGGTATCATGTCACGACCTTTACGGGGCAATAGTTGTGTAGCATTCGATACAAAATTATTGCTATATAAAAATTTTGTTGTACGTGGTTGTGGTTACAAGCATCCATTGTTTATCCATATTGACAGTGTGTCGTATCCGAGAAAAATGTAGATATTCCGGGTACAACGCCCGGTGAGAAAATAAATTTCTATACTCGAACGAGAACCGTATACAAGTGCAGGCTGTAATAAAAGTCATGCCTCTCTGAGTTATGTGCGCACTGAGATCTAAGTGCACGTACAACAAAAACAAATCTAAAAGCTAAATACATATCAGATATAAGGGAGAAAAATGACTGCTTCCTAAACACAACGCCGTAGACCACTCGGCCAACCTGCTATTTGACAGGTCCAGGACTCGAACCTGCGCATCCGAAGATATTGCGGAATCTACAACCATTGGACGGATCGAGACAAGAGTACAGTTTGTGAACATGTTCAAATTCGGAGAATACTGAAATGCACTCATGATGGTGGATTACAAAAACTTCTCGGGTAATGATCGCTAGATGTATACTCGAATATCAACTTCCTGTTATACAAACATTTGCTGCACCTTGTTGTGGCTACGAGATCCATTGTATATACTTGTTGGTAACGTATCGTATCCGAAACAAATTGTCGTTATATCGAGTATAATGCCAAATGATAAGAAGTTCTATACTCGAACGAGCGCCGACAGTGCAGGATGTGATAAATTTCGTCATTTTTAGAAAAAAGTATGTAGTATATTTTCTTTCTGAGTACATATTGACATTGCAGGTCGCAGGATGTGATCAATTTTGACATTTTTAAACACAAGTATGTATATAGTACATTGTCTTTCTGAGAAGTACATGTTGTTTATTACGTTCTAGAGGAGCTGATTACAACGAATAGTTTAAATCGACAGCTAACTTGTAAAGAGCCTATATTTAGGTTTGAAATAATCATTAGTGTCAGCCTGTCGGGAGAACGCAAGTGTGCCTACCACGAAGTATGAACACGAGAACAAAAACAATTATGGATTATTTTAGAATTATGTTAGTATAAAAAATGGTTAATCCCTAAACACAACGCCTTAGACCACTCGGCCAACCTGCATTTCACTGTTTGACAGGTGCAGGACTCGAACCTGCGCATCCGAAGATATTGCGGAGTCCATAACCACGAGACAAGTCTCTGATGTGTTTTTACTATAAAGTTCCTAATTATAAAAACGTATTCTCAATATATACTTTGTTTTGTTTTTTTATATAGAGCAAAAACATCGAAAATTAAACAGATCCCAACTGTGCCAGACTGAGTGCCAGACTGCCAGTATTTTTTGAAAATAGCGGGCAGGCCCTGAGACTCTTAGAGCTGAGGCCAACCACTCTGTCATAGATTTCATCATTTCAAAAGGTTTTGCTTCTTCATGGCCAACAAGTCCTACGGACTTGTCCGTTCTACGTACAGTCAAACCTCTTTATATGACCACCTCTTTAAGATGACCACCTCTTCATATGACCAATTTTTCTTTGGGCCAACCCCCATATATGTGATAGGTCTTTTTGGGCCGGTCCTGACAGCCTGCCCTTGGTGGGAACTTGGGAGGTCCGACTATTGTCAGCACTGAGCACTGATTGAGTTAAAATTTTAAATTTGTGGTTCATCGTGCTCCGACCATGGGGTCTACATGTGTATATATTTCACCTTTCACCTTTGCTTTTCACTGGCACGTTCATACATAGACTAGTACATGCTACAATAGATACTGATGGGAGACGCTTCTAGTGGTGGACAATGTTGTGCGAAAGGATGCACTATAGCGCACCCAGTGGGTGGTGCACACAAGTGTGCTGCTTGCGATCGAAGTATGCATGCCTTGTGTGGCGTGCATCTTGGTGAGGGATTTGGTTCAAATTCAATTGGTTACTGCCTGTCTACTGATAAATGCCAGCCACCGGAGGACAAATCAGATCAGACAACTACTGAATCAGATACAATGCAGGAAGACGACGTGGCACAAGCTACGCCTAAGCAGTATGCATTGTCTGAGTTGAATGGAGCATCTAGTATACTGATGAATAAGCTCACTGAAAGTGAGAAGAAGAAGACATACCCACAGACTGTATTATCTAAAGTAAAGGACAGAACATTTAAGAGGGTCAATCTAACAGATAAAGACAAAGGAATTATCGTGCGCGCAATCAAGAAAGTGGGATACAGCTTTGACAAGTCCTGGAAAGAGACTTTTCGTGAGGATTTAGTCAAAGAAGCCGTGCGAGCTGCGCGTGAATCATTCGGTGTGAGTACGAAAACAATACGGTTGTGTAAATAAACAGAAGATTTCCACAAGAGTAGAAATATTGAAATATAGGAGCATTTTTGAGTGATAATGCGCCCGGAATAGTCCCGAACATGACAGTAGAAACCTGACCCAGACTTGACCACCTCTTTATATAAACAATTTTTTTTTACCAAAAACGGACATTGGTCATATAAAGAGGTTTGACTGTACCGTAATTTTTACTCTTCTAGACAGAGAGTAGCTCTGGTCATGACGATGCTCTTTCTTTGTTTTTATATTTTGTACAAATTTTTTTTTTGAATTTTTAGAGGGCTATTCTTTTTTTTTATTACAATTTATTATTATTTTTAATTTTTTTAGAAGGCTATTCCTTTTTATATGACAATTTTTTATTGTTTTTAATTTTTTAGCCGGCTATTCTTTTTTTTATTACAATTTATTTTGTTTTTGTTTTTTAAGAATGTATCATATATGAGCCTATACATGTTTGTTTGTTCGTTTTTTAAGTATGTAGTTTTTCTGCCTCTCTGGTCAGGTTTCGGCGATTTCGGTCCGTTCGGAATTTCGGACTGACATTTTTAACGGTTTAAAACATAGCCTTCTGAAAATTGAGCATGCTCTTAGAAATGGGGGGGTTTGTTTGTTTTTTTAAAACCACAGCAAAATACATTATAAATTTGTTGGATTGGTGATCGTCTGATCGAATGTAATTTTTTTTTAAATATTGTATTTACTTCCACTCTCCCAGTCAACAGTCATCAGGCCCCATTGATTTGAGTCTCGGAGCAGAAATGAAGTTGTCGTATGCAGATTGATTTGCAGACTAATGCAGTACAGCAGTATTTCCTCTCGCGCAGGCTCGCGTAGCGAAATCATAAAATTTTGCGCAGAGCCGCAGAGTCGCAGACCCAAATCCGGGGAGCTATGCAACAGTGACAACATTCGCATCAGTCGTCAGTTCGTCACAACTTTACAACTACAAGAAGTGAACACTGTTTAGACTCCAGGCTGGAGTTCCACAGTCCACCACATGCCAGCAGGAGTCCAAGGACACAGGCTCACAGAGTCACAGGCACACAGTCAGTCGATCACAGTCAGTCAGTCATTGCCCACAGGCACTCACAGCCTCACAACTCACAACTCACAACTCACAACTCACAACTCACAACTCACAACTCACAACTCACATGTCACAGAATCAGGAATTCAGAAATCAAGATCACTCGTTTCTTTTTCAGTTTGTCATCTCGTTTATGTTGTCACACTACTGATTACTTTGATTTACAGAAACAGTTTTTAATATTTCGCTCAACACAGCAGGCCCCAGGTGGGCCCCAGCTAAATAGTTTTATTTGGTGAAAATGTCAATGGTGATACTCCAGCAACCCGTTTAAAAAATATGTAGAATGATCACTCAATACTCGCGAGATACGCAAAACAGCGCAGGTGGCTCTGCTCGTGTCGTTAGACCCACCTCAACTGATAATAGTTTATTTTAAAATACTCATCCTGCAGAGAGAACCATTTCTGTTACCCTCGGAAGTCAAACTTCGTTTCAAATGTGTAAGGTGGCAAAAGTTATAAGTCCGTACCAGGCATATAAAACGCACCAGCGAAATCAGCCACTCGGTCTGAAAGCTCTGCAATACGTCCTGTAAACCTCTCATCGGAGTCCACAGCCTTCTTGAAATCAATAATTTTCTTGCCCTCAATCGACTTCTTGATCTCAATGCCCAACGTGATTGCCTCGTGCAGGAACTTACCTACCTGCTCGAAGTCCTGCTCTACCATATTTCGACTGGTCAGAGCGGGTGCACCTGTCGTGGTTTTGATGATAAAGTTTTGAGAATAGAAACATGAGCACAGAAAATGTATATCGCGTTCAGTGAACAACACATGGAATAGATGTGACTTCGTTGGTGTATTGTGATACAACACAGAAACAACTGAAACCTTGGAAATAAATATTAAACCGCATCCTCCCGCACAGAGTGAAAACAATTCAACTCACGGTGTACTAATCATCCTGGCAATAAGGCGCGAATATGTATGCTCGTACCTAGACGTACACCACCGGGCACGAGCGCGGATGTGTCTCCCTTGCATGTGTTCTTGTTGACTGTGATGTGCATTCGGTCGAGCAGGTACTCGGCACGTGCGCCATCGAAGCCAGCTGGACGGAGGTTCACCAGACACATGTGGTTGTCTGTGCCATTGGACACCAACTCGTACCCCTCAGACATCAGATACTTCGCAAGGGTTTGAGCGTTACTAACCACCTGTAGAAATGACCAACAGCAACCGTACGGTGAGTAAAATAGTGATATATAGAAAGTTTGTCAGGCAATATATATATATATATATATATATATTATACATATGTGTGTGTGTGTGTATGTGTGTGTGTGTGTTACATACATATATATTTATATATATATATATATATATGTTGTATATAATATATATTATATATATATATATATATATATATATATATATATATATATATAGTATATATAATATAAATATACTATATATACAATATATATATATATATATATATATATCCCTCCTGCGAATTTAAAGAAGAACAGAACCAACATACCTGTTTCTGATACTGAACGAACTCGGGCGTCGCTGCATCCTTCAAGCAAGTAGCGACAGCTCCGATCTGATGATTATGAGGCCCACCTTGTAACATAGGAAAGACAGAGCTGTACGTCGTGTACCGGCGATGTCAGGATATAGTACGGTTTTTAGTAACATGAACATAACATTCACCGGCATTTAGCTTCAAAGTATACATGAATTAGACATCAGATTTATGCTGACAACAACGAGCCCTACACCGATATGGCCCTCGGAACTTAATCGTACTATTGCTTAGAAGACCAATATTGAAGAGCGTGACAAATCGCTTGTTCTACAGGGTGGCTAGTTTTGATAACACCGTCATTGAATAGTATACTCCGAACAACCAACTCAAGGCCGTTAGTGTACACTCGCACGTAGTATCAAGGGTAACTAGCAAGGAACCTCTCATTCTATCCGCAAGAATAACACGGATCAAATAAATACAGAATCGAGCCGCACTTACAAATTGATCTTGTCCTCGATGTCGTACATGGTCTCTACACCCTTCTTACTAACACTGCGCACACCCTTGCGGAAGAAAATCAATCCTGAGCGCGGTCCACGGAGTGTTTTGTGTGTTGTGGTGGTAACCACATCACTGTGATCGAAGGGAGAGGGTCCAATACCGGCAGCTACCAGACCACTGTGGGAAGGATCGAGGTAAATATGTTAATTTATTAGTTTAGATCAACCACAATGGACAGACTGTTCCGTATAGTCCGTGTCTAGTTTTAGTTCACGTGTGACTATACTGCAAAGACAAGCGTATGTACATGTTGCAGAGCTAGACATCAGGGAAGATCGCTCAAGATGCACACAGAGCAATACATCCAGCACATTGTAGTTCTTTAGTCATACAAGGATTTATGAGAAGACTGCCATCTGAGTAGCGAAGATACACTACAACAAGATTGGTTATAGATGTGGTGGAGAAAAGACGTCTCAACGCAGAATACCTAAAAATATACCTGCCATGATTCTATCGCCTACAGGTATAGGTATGAATTGCTGACACGAACACACTAGCAGTTCCAAAATGAAGCAATCCAAGTGGATCGTTTATCTTCGTTCGGTAGACATACGAACATCTTGTCAAAATTGCTTTCAAGGTACACTAGTATGACAATTGTATTCGTTACCATTCAGTAGTGGCTACACACCTGATATGAGCCATATCAGTCAACAACCAAGATCCATTGATCTCGGCTATCTTGCGCATACGTTCGTAGTCCCAGTGGCGGCAGTAAGCAGATGCACCTGCAATGATCAATTTGGGCCGGAATGTCCGCGCAGACTTCTCTAACCCATCGTAATCTACATAACCGTCCTCTTTTATGTCATAGGGCAGACTTTCAAAGTACACAGAAGTTGCCGAAATCTTCTTCTTGGCAGTGTAGTAACCGTGTGTGAGATGACCTGTCCGTTCAAAATTGTACATATAAACGATGCTATCATTCTCGTGTCTAACAGTATACACAACTATAGTTTACGTCGGCACTGGACGTCCGGCACAAGGCAGTCGTACCACCAGACTTGGCAGCGTCTGGAATACAATCACAAAAAGACGCCTGACCCTAGTTCGAATGCAAACTTGATGCTGATTTCATAGCTTCAGAATGTTCACTTGGAGATTATGTGCCGGGTTCTAGGCTTTAGAAACAATTTCTTACTTGAAAAAATACATCGATCAGGAAGCTACAAAACATCACAAACATGTCGATCGGATGATTCGCAGCCAGCATCAACTATCAGTTCTCAAAATAGAAACAAACTTGCCTCCCGATGGTAAATCCAGCCCCATTAACCGATCATGTGGGTTCAGCAGGGCAGTATAAGCTGCAAAATTCGCCGGCGAACCAGACAATGGCTGCACATTCACTCCCCACTTCTCCGGATCCAAATGAAACGCCTTCAGAGCTCTCTCAATACATAGATTTTCCACCTGTTACAAATTAGAACAAATTAGCTCAAATATATCTGGAGAAATCGACTTGTAGTGTATATATATGTGTGTGTGTGTGTGTGTGTGTGTGTGTGTATGTATGTATATATGTATGTA